CAAACTCGTACATTTTACTGTTAAGATTCATGTGAATTTTTAAAGTTCTATTCTATGACATTGCTGTTATCTTCTCATGTAAAAATGTTTACACTGCTTTCCAGTTAAATTACTTAAATTTCTCCCTTCTCTTTCCCTCTAACATTCCTCAAGTAAAATTAATACTCATTGGCTACCCATTTACTTCCCTTGTGGTAAAGACATCCCAGGTTCAGAAACTCAAGAGGAAAGTTCTATTCAAAAAATAACATTTCCAAAGCTAACTACACAGAAAAGTTTAGCGCATTAAGCAATTTTCTGGACTGTCAAGGACCTTCAGTTCTCAAACATTCTTCTCCCACCTTGTCTACTCACCAACAAAGATTCAATATGGCAAACACGCAGCACAGGAATTGAAAGCAGGAGATGCAATACTAGAGAAGCCAACTTTCCACGCAGATGAGAATACACTGCAGAACCATTACACAACTCATACGTTACTTAGGGTAAATTACACCGAGGAAAACTGTGTTGAGATGTCACCCACATTTCAAAGACAGAGTTGTACCACAGAATTTGTCAATTCCTGAATAGGGCTCCAAGACTTTAATAAAACCATTGTTCTATTATTTTTAAGAAAGAAGACCTCATCTCTAGTTTTTGTGCAATAACTCACTTTAACTTTGATACTAAAATTCTTATCTCGGTCTTCAAATTCAAAAGAGAGATTTGTTCCTCGCTTATAAAGCAAACATACTTAAATGGTAGTCTCCCAGTCTAATAAATTTGGAATATTATGATTTCTAATAGGCTTGTTAAAAAAAAACTTATTACTGTGTAATAGTCATAATGCCATCAAATATTAAGTTAAATTCCCAATTACTTCTTCTTTTTTAAAATATAAGTCAAGCTAAATTGATTTATAGACTTACACAGGTTTCCTATGGAAAGGATATAGGAAAAAATAGAAACATTTTATGTAACTTAATTAGGGATATATTCCTTAAGTCTTAGAACCACATAAGTAAAAATCGTATTTTAAAGTGTCAAATAATAATATATACTTAGTAACAATAAATGGAATTGTCTAACGTATTAACCAATTAAAGTAAGATTAAGGAGCATTTTTATATTTGGACTGTAAATGATGGTTTTTCCACTTAGCGATTTATTTCTTTTAAGCAATGGTTATAAAATTACAAGTATCATTAGCATAAACCATTGGTCTCTTAAGATTCCTTTCACTATTAAAATTTGTGTCATGAAGTTGATAGATACGTGGAAGCAAATTTCCCAGTGATTTTTTTTCTTTTTCATCAGAGACTTTGGAGATCTTTATGCTTTCAGAGAAGGAAGAGCTCTAAAGTAAAGCAAAATCAACCACATGAGTGCCTGCAGACTAATATCGTCTCCTTTTGCAAATAAGTCAAAATTGTAGTGTTGGGAAGACAAAAGACTTCAACTGACTCACAGGTTTGCACAGCAAATTTTATATTTTCCTTAGAAATGTAAGTGACTATGGTCATATCCTATTTATTTCAGAAAAAGAGTTTTTCAAGACTAATTTTTTCCAAAGGAATGGTGATGGTGCAAACATGGTCCTGAGGTGCTCTGTGAGTAGGACCTGCCTGAAGCAGCTGGGCCTGTAAGGGGGCCTGCCAGCCAGCCCTAGCTGCAAGCCCACTGCAGGCGCCCAGGGGAAAAAGGCACTGTGTATCATTTATAGAAAATGTTGCCTGAAAGAAACTAACTCAAGGGGTGAGGGACTTTTAAAAATATTTTTCTTATTATAAAACCACGACACGCTTAATGATTTAAAAATGTCAGTCAGAAAATGCAAAAATGTCAAAAGTAAAAAATCAAACTGAGCTTCTGTTAAACCGCCCACATACCCTCTACCAACAAACCCTACACCAGCAATCCCATTTGCCACAGGCACTCACTGCTAAAGGCTGGTGTATAAAAATCATTTCAGCCTTTTTATGAAATATAATAGGTATACTCTGTATATACAGAATTTTATAATTAAGTGGAATTATACTGTAAATATTGTTCTACATATGGAAAATCAAATTATCACTGGGAGATTTCTGAGATAGCACAGAATCAGAAAAAGAAAAAAAAAAAGAAGTAGCTGAATTGCCTTAATGGCTTAGTGGATTAAAACTATGACCAATGGTATGATCCATTACTTTACGGAGACTAACTAATAAGAAATCAAAAGATCAGAATGTTCCTATCCACTCTTCCGAGCACCAGTTGGCAGAACGAGCCAGGAACACGCATATAAATGTTGGCTCTCTGGCCATTCCTTCCCCTCATTTTAGGTTCAATATACACCATACTCCCTTGACTCCTACAAAATTTCTTTTTCAAAAAGTAGTAATTAAAAATTTGTTATAGTCTCTTATTCACTCTACTTGATTGGGTTACAGCTTGATTATGTCATAGCATCGTCCAATTATAAAAATCACAATGAGTAGCTTGAGGTGTTAATACATCATGATTGTCAGATATTTCACCCTCATCACCTTGACAGAGTTGTTTTTCAACTGCCTATTGTTGTTTTGACAGCAGATTGAGCTCATTCATTACATCTTGATCTTTCCTAATTCATTCTCTAAGGTTAGTCATCCTATAGTTTTAAGGGTGCCGTGTGTGTGTCTGTGTGTGTGTGTGTGTGTGTGTGTGTGTATGTGTGTAAGTTAGGCATTGTGAAAGCTACATGGATGCTAAGAACCTCCCTACTCACAAGAAACGTTAAATAGGAACAGCACTGAGGATGCATGCTCTCACTGCTTTGACCTTTGAAGATTCTGGGCTTGCCTGGAATCTCTCAGGATGCTCACTTTAGCATAGAAATGAATAGTAAAACATGTATCTGTAGGGTGTTGGGTCACAAGGTCCTGTATTATGCATGTCCAGACCTGCATTTTATTTATCTAAATTCATCAAATATTTATGAAGCACCTTCTGTGTACCAGGAACTGTGGTAAGCCCTGGCGATACAGTGGTGAACAAGACAGACCTAATCCATGCCCTTGCAGAATTCCTGGTCTAGTGGGAAAGACAACCATCAGACAAGGATATATAGGTGAAGGGTGTTCCAAAAGAGTAGGTAGCAGTGCTGTGGAAGCGTAGAGCACCAAGATCTAAGCCGCCCTCCTGGGAAGGGTAAGGACTCTCTTCCTGAAAATACGTCAGCCAGGCAAAGATAGGTGAGGAGAAAAAGAGAGGTTGAACATTGGGATTTCCTAGAGGTTGGTCATAAAGTGCCTGTTATTTTTGGAAATCAATGATTCTAAGGCATTAATTAACCTCATTATACTAGGGGTTCTCTAAACTGATTATCTAACCTTTCTGTATTTTATAGTTTTCTTCTGTAAAATGGGAATAATAAGACCTCATTTATAATGGTGAAAGGAAAATGTCCTTAAGTCACAGCTGAGTCTCTGGTCCTTAGTAGGTTTTTAACAAATGATAGTTACCTAATTCTTCTCTTTCTTACTGCCTGTATACTGACCCTTCTACTGTCATTCCCAGCTGGCCTGTACTATTAAAGATAAAATGTAAAATATTGCCCATTGACTGTATTTCAGATTCAAAGCTCAAGATAATCTTACTACTCTCACGCATTTATCTAAGGCTAGGTTGGATACATAGACATGTAAACACAGGCATGAATACATACACATATATGCCAGTACAGAGGAAGGGAGAAAGACTGGAAATCTTTTTCTACACTTATAATCATCAGGCAGACAGAGGGCTCTAGTGTCATTATGACAAGAATTGTTTCACACACTATGAGTTTATCTTGTTTTATTTCTCGCTAGGTGGAAAGGAGCAGGAGGAGCAGAGGCTTTTAAACGAGAACAGAGGTTGACTCAGCTTCACCATTCACTAGCCTAGTGACCCTGATCATGTAACTTGATCCTTCTGAGCCTCGTTTCCTCATCTAATGATACCTACTACCTTACTAGGCACAGGTAACAAGCAGAGACAATGAGTGGGAGGCACAGGACACCACACCTTGCCTGCTCTGGCTTGGCCTATGTGTGGACGGAGAGGTAGGCCTCAGGGGAGAACGGTAGATTCATGCAATAGGACGGATCAGCACAGACAGAAGCTGTGGGTATCCAAGGGATATGCACCTTGGGACATGTAGCTTTTTGGCACATTAGATACTATGCTCCGTTATGCTATCATGGCCTTTGGTTTGTATCACTCCTGCCTCATAAGTATTTGTGTGTAATCAGGAAAAAAATACTAAATTACTGACTGTCTTAGCCTGGGTTGCCCCAGAAAGCAGAGCCAGAGGCAAATGTTTCTGTGCAATGACTCTATTAACAAGTGCAAACCCAAAAAAGGAGGAACAGTAATAAAAGGGAGCAAAGTAGGGAAGCCAAAAGCACCAGCACAAGACAATGTCTTGAGTTGTCCGCCAGTAACTGCAAACTGATTGCTTAATTTCCTGGGATGGTCCTCCAGGAGGCTGTATAAACTGAGTGTCTCAGGACCCTCCACCAAGAGGTGGAAGAGAAAAGAGCCTACCTACTAGTTCCATCGTCAAAAGTTCATCTGAATGGGACGTGGGTTCCCTGCACATCCATGGGGCATGTGGGTGGTGCTGGGAGAATCCCACAGCACGTGACACCTCTGCTTTACCAGAGATGCCCCCAGGTCATGGGGGAGAGATGTGTGGCAGGTGACAAGGTGAGGGGCGGTCTGTGGGTGCATGAGGCTAGCCTGAATCTCATCTGTGGCCGGGTTAGGACTAAAAGGCCCAAAAACCAGTGAGAACAAGAGGATCTGAAGAGGCTTATTAAAGGTGTCTGATTCACCAGATGAAATAACTCAGTCCTCATGTGGACCCGAGTACCATGCCAAGAAAATTATCCTGAAAGGATGTGAAGCATCCCCAGAGTGGCTTACAAATTACAATTAACTTTGTGTTGTGAAAACCTAGTACACCAAACTGAAAACAAAGGAAGCTGAGTAGATAGAGGATTTTCCCCCCCCCCGTAATGCCTGACCTCAGTGAAAACTGGTCTCTGAGGAGCTGGAGATGTACTGGAAAAATGAAACAAAGAAGGAAAATAAATGGAGTGAAGCAAATCTGAATGAGTTCAAAGTCAGGAAACCTTGTTACTACCAGAGATAAATGAAAGGGGTTCTCTGGTTCACTCAAAAAATAGTCTATTAAGAATTTTTAGCTGTTTTAATTTATTTTTACTTGTCAAATTCTATGAAGCACTAGTTAGAAGGGTATGCGGATATTTTCTATATATTTATCAAATTTGCTTTAAGAAGGCAGAGGGATCTCAAGGAAAGCAGATGCTCAAAATCCTTATAGGTGCTGTCCTGCAACATGAAAAAGAGAAATGTGTTGATATGTTGGAAAAATATGATTAGCAGGAAGAATACGGACCTGTAATAAACATTGTTTAAAGGAGAAGAGAGGAAATGTGCTTGATTTCAATTTCTTTACAGTCATCAGCTATTTGTTATTTAAATCTGGGTACTGTTAGCTTACATTTAGGTATTGATGAAAGGGTCACTTTTTCTACAATCATGCAGTATTATTTTTAAATGAATTACCTGACTTTAAAGAAAATATTCTAAGTGTTAATATTTCCCTTAAGAAATATTCCCATTTAAATTCTGCACCCTATGAAGCAATTCAGTTATTCCGTTGTTCCAAATCTGCAGAAAATGATCCAAAAGTTCTATAATTAATACATAACAAAAAGATGTTAAAAGGCATTAAAAAGTTACATAAGCCTAAACATAATGAATACAACAACGATGAAGATAATGCAAATTGGTTTTTTTTAGAGCAACAAATACGTTTCAATTTCTGGTAGAACAGCTGTATAAATTGTTACAGAATCCACAGTCTATATCATCATACCACTGAGGTATTTTCCTGAAGATCGAGTGCTTGGTTATAATCAGCCATAGCTTCCTCAATCAGACCTATTTTACCACGAACTTCTGCTCTAAAATTATATACTAGAGCATCATTAGGTTTCAAAGACAGAGCTGTAAATGAAAAAAAAAAATTCAAGACATTTTTATACGAGCACTCAAAAAGAATCTCTTTTTAAAATAAAATTTTAATAATATAAGAATATTACCTATTTGAAAATATTTTTCTTCATATATACCTAATTTAGTTAAATTTAAAATATTGAATCTTTCTAAGAAAATTAACTTGGGGAAACACAGTACAATGTCTTTTTTTGGAAGGCTGGCAATGTTTACGTATAGTTTTCCTAATAATTTTCTATATCTTATTTTTCTATATCTATATCTAATCTATATTAGTTTACTAATACTGTAAGTTATTACATAAAGGAACTTATATTGATTACATTAGAGATATGATATTTAAAATCATTAATTTTAATGTAAGTTTATCTAGGCAAAAAGACCTTACAATTTTCTTCTTTTGTCATCTGAAAACAAGTATCAACCACTGTGATCTAACTCAAAAAAATTACAAAAAAATATACCTTTACTTAAGTCTTCTTCAGCTAGTTCATATTGCTTTAAACAGCAGTAGAAATACGCTCTGTTAAAATATACTGCAGCCCAAAATGGACAGCTTTCAACTACACATGCAAAATCTTCTTTTGCTTCTTCATATTTTTTTAATATTGTATTTGCAATAGCTCGATTCATGGTAGCACATTCATTTTCTGGATCAAACTTTAAAGCCTTTGAGAAGTAGTCACTAGCCTATAAAATGTGAAGATAATGATGATTTCAATATATTTTAATTGGCAGCTATACAGCAATCTGAAGCACTTTTACTCTTAATATAAAACTAAGGCCAGCAGCATACCAGGGAGATAGTAAAAGAATTTCATCCCAGATACAGGTGATAAAGAGGTGCCATGTTTGTAGAGGATGTAAAAGATAATCATAAAATCAACCAATAGTTGGATCTACTTTTTGTTATCACCATGTGTCAGCAGTTCTAGACAATGTCAGTAATAAAATACTCCTCTCTGCTAAGGTGGAGTGTTCCATAACCCAGCCCCAACTCCTGGCCCAACAAACACAAAAATCCCACTTCCCTGTACAGCACTAGAGAAAGGTAAAATATAGGTTAGAAAAGAAGTTTGCAACAAGAAAATAAAATATAAGTTAGAAAATTAATATTTTTCATATAAAAGCAGAGAATTTAAGGCTAAAGAGAGAAGCAAATTTTGACAGTAAGGTCCTAACCATACCAGAAGGGATTAAAAACTCAGTCATATTATGAATAGCTATAATGAAGGAAGACAGAAGATAAAAATCAGCTTGTCAAGAAGATCAAAGACTCTAGATGATTCACAACTCCCCATCAAGCGGGAAGGGACCCTGCAAAGTGTGGTCCATGAACTGGTGTTAGGGTCTTGATTAACAGTAAGTTGGAAAATTTGTAGAAACTGGACCTTCACCACAAATAGCCTGAGATGCTGATTAGACATCCTACCACTCAAGCTGGAAATCTCATCTCTGACTCTATGATGAATGAAAATTTGGCTCCCACTTTAAAACTTACCCTAAAGGGAAGGTCATTTTTAACATTACAGCTTGCGGTCTCTAATTCTTTACCATTCAATTTTTCCCCCAAACACCACAGACTGGCTTCTATCTACCTCCCCCTATTCTGTGAGGTCTGCTTTTGCCAAAGTTGAAGGCATCCTCCAGCCCCGTAGACATTTTCTAGACCTTTCCTTCCATGGCATTTCTGTGGCATGAACAGTCTTGGTCTCTCCTTCGTTCTTAAAACACTCTCTGTCTTTGAGATAGGGTGTCTCCCAGGTTTTTCTCCTACCTCACTGATCATTTTCAATCAGTCTTCTTTACTGAACTATTTTTGTCTGCATTTTCCAGGGATTTGTCCTCAGTTCACTTAACTTCCATTGTGGGTGAAATGAAACACTGATAGCACGGTGGCCAGGGGCTCAGACGCTGGAGACAGATTTCTAGGTTCAAATTTGGGCTCTACCATTTATTATCTCTATGAGATATTGCTCACTTGAGTGAGTAACTAAAGCTCTCTTTGCCTCAATTTTTCTCATCTGTAAAATGGAGGCAACAAATAGAACTTGACTTTCAGTGTTGCTATGAGGATTAAGTTAGCTAATAAGTAAATTACTGAGAACAATTTGCAGAATACAGTAAGGACTTAGTCAGTTATTATTGACATAGCATTTTTTTTTTTTGCCAGTGTCTACTAATGGAGAGAGATCACAGCCCTCGGGCAATACTCCATGAATTTTGCTGCCTGTGACTTTTGAGAGGCTATTAGATCAAGATTGGGTAACCCATCTCATCCCAGGATGGGAGTTCTATGCTGTAGTTAAGTGCAGTTTAAGGATCTTTTGAGATGGCAGCAGAATAGACATCCCTCTGCAAAGAGCTTAAAGAGAATTCACTCCTGAACAGGAGGCTGGACTCAAAGTCATTATAAATGAGGCAAGGGAATGACTCGAAGCAGGGCCAAGACTTCCCTCAAAAAGTAATTTTAAATTTCATCTTAATTCATCAATAAATGACCAGTAAAGGCTACACAATTCTACATCACCAAAGCATGACTTCAGTCACGTAGAAGCAAAGGCCTCCCTCAGCTAAAATGACTGAACCTAGTAAAACACAACAGTATGCCTAACTTGGAACAATGTAACTTTCTATTACAGCTTTGAAAATGTATTACCTAGAAAATGAAAGCCCGTAGATGTAACGGGGTTACTTGAAGAATAGGAGCATTAACTATGAAGTAATCAGAGGCCAAGGGCACCTACCACAATGGATGGCCTTGATTCAGCAACTAGTCTAGTGCCTTCATATGTGTGATTACCGAGAAAGCAGATCCAGCTACTCTAAATCACCTGCACTTCATGATGTGTGAAGCTCATCCAAATGTGCTTTAAGATCATTAAGTCACTAACCAACCATAAAAGAAGCCAGAACACATACATGTTTTAACCCTCTAGGGATTATTTGACCTGTGGAGGGGCCCTTCCCCCTGGTCCTAAATCTTTCCGTATAGTCAGAAACAAAGAGGCCAGGGGAGGGTGCACAGGAACTAGGAGAATTTTCTCCACGGAGAGGCCTGCAGCATATCAAAATAGCTGAAATACTGCTGTCAAAGTCTGCCTGTCTCTGAAGGGAGTGCAAAGCCCAGGTATCCAGTATATCAAGACAGAGGATGGAATACATTTTAGATCAAATATTTGCCCAGCTATGTCCCCAGTTTGGGGAAAATGGAGCCATACTACACTTTAGATCTAACCTAAATAGTTTGATATGTGATGCTCATAGAGTTATTAGGACAACAAAGTTTAAAACATGAAGGTTCCCTCTCATATGGACCTTGAACATTTTTGGAAACAGAAAATTGCTCTGGGCATTGTGTCTGTCTTCATCGCATTAGCTAATTCTCCAATGCAGAGAAACATTGCTAAGACGCAGCCAGAGAGTGATCTGAGCCTGAGTGGTTTAAGGCAATCGACCTTGGCCTGTCAGCCTGGGAAAACACTAGCCTCCCAGCTGTCCACTGAGGTCTGAGCTACAACAGCCTCACTCACGCCTTACAGAATTAGACCTCGGATAACTCTCTGTTCCAGCATCCAGCCAGCAGCCGGCACTGAGGTCAAGCAGCCTCATCACTGGGGTCAGCAAGCTAACTGATCTAATGCAGGAAAGAATAAGAGCTACACCAAGGCAATGGCAGTAGAAACAGAATGGAAAGGACAGATGTGAGAAAAAACTAAGAACCAAAACAGACAAGATGACATGACTGATTAGATGAAGAAGTTGGGGAAGAGAGAGTTATGGCTGGTGCTGACGCTTCCACTCAGGTGACTGTGGAAGACGACGTCCTGAATTGAGACGGGGTTTATACGAAGAAGAGCTGGTTTGGGGTAGGACACAGAGATTATTTCAGTTTGGGCTCTAATGCACTTGTAAAGTATACTGTTTTAGCAACTGGCGATACATATGGGCTAGGAGCTCAGAAGAAAGGCGCAGGCTGACATGGAGTAGAAGCTGTGGGTGTAGGCAGGCTTTCTGAGGGAGGAAGTGAAGGGAGGAGAGGAAGGAGAGTGATCCCTCATGCTGTTGAGTTTATAATCTAATTGGAGTGAGAAGATAAGAGATTGACACATGGAAACAACAGAGCCATACTGAATCTGTATGGGAAGAATTATACACAAAGCAGTGTAGGGTCAAGGTCTCACTTTAAATTTGACCACAAACCTCAAATGAGGACATCCAGTTGTCTGGTAATCCAACTGCACCCCCCTTGCAGGTTCTCCCTACCACTTGCTACAACAATTATTTCACATTTTCTCTTTTCTCCTCAGAACTCCCAGCCATGCTGTCCCCCTTTTTATCGGTCCACCTTCACTCTTAACTAGTAACCGGCACTCCTATTCCACGGAGAAAATATAATCAGTAAACAGAAATGTGCCTACTATCAAAATCCAGCTGCGCCCCGACTCTGCCCTCCCCCTCTCTCCAGCACCGGCAATTTCTCCCTTTCTACCTGATCCTTTCATTAACATCGGGACATGAGTCACTTTCCCTCATATTTAAAAAAATTAAGAATAAGAACTTCTTACTCCACTTTGGCTATCATCCCCATTTTACTACTTCTCTTCACAGAAGAATTTCTTGAACTAGTTCCACTGTCTCTAATTCTTCACCTCACATTTTCTCCACAACTCTTCCATTCCAGGCTCTGCTTCCACTGCTACTCCGACAACGTTCCTGCCAGAGTCATTGCTGACTCTCTCCATCCTCCTCTTCCTCGACGTCTCAGCAGCACTTGACACAGGACACGTTCCCTTCTTAAAGCACTTTATCCTTCAGGTGATACCATGCTCTCCTGCTTCTCTTCCCACCATCCTGGCTGGATCCTCCCTTCTCACTCTACACATCTCCTCTCTGCTTCACTTCTGAACACTGGTGTTGCCCCTGGGCTTGCTCCTTAAACCCGTTCTTTCCTATAGAATCTACTCAAGTAACCTCTTATAGTTCCACACATATGTTAACACCGATATAATAACACATATATGAGACTAAATTAGATGTTGATCACTACTCCTTAGTCAAAAGGGAAATAAAATTTCAAGTGCAACACTTGGGGAAAACAAAAATTAAAACATTAAAGACCTAAACACATAGGAATACTGCTGAATACAGTACTTGGAGAAAAGGCATAACCTTAAAAACTTATCACAATGTAAAGGAAAGCATGACAGTAAATGAATTACGCTTCTGACTGAAAAAGACAAAGAACAAAATAAAATTGAAGACAAAGAACAAAAGAGTGAATATAGATTAGAAAACACAAAAATTAAAGTTGAACTTGAATCATGTAAATGCATTCAGTTCCAATAAAATAAATTCAAAATATAAAAAATATCATCTAATAACCCAACACTTCCATTTCAGACATTATAAATTGAGGTCCAAAAACACTAAGTTGTCAAAACCAGAACTAACACACATATCTATCTCCTCACTCCCAGTGAAGTGCTCATGTGACTGAAACCCACAGAGGTGTAAACACTTAATAAATAATTGATCGACATTCTTATGAAAGAGAACTTTTTTGAAAAGAACTAACGAATGATTAGCCTGAGATGTAAAGCCTGAATTTTGAAACTATATATAACAAAGAAAGCATTCAGCATCAAAAAGAAAATGTCAGGAAAAACTCACATTACCTGGGAAAACTGCCTGTGGTGAAAATAGATATTTCCTGCATTAAAGTAAGCCAGTGAGTATGTGGGGTTTAGAGAAATTGCTGCTTGATAGTCTCTCATTGCGTTCTGTTGTTGACCCATAAACTCATGAATCACACCCCGATTTGTTAAGAATTCTGCTGTAGTATTGATCTGCAATATAACAGTATGAGTATTTAGCATCTGGGAATAGCACTTATCTCCAATTTCATGTGTGAAAAAATGAAGGTTATGAAATCTACTTGTGGGAAACTAGTAATTTTATAGTGCAGGTGAAATTCCATTAGAGCAAACATTTTGAGAAAGGACTTGGTATGAAGTTGGTTCAGTGTCAACATTTTGTTGATTTGGTTGCAATAAAACAAATAATCTTAGTGTTTGACTCAGCTCCTTTGCAAAGAATAGATGCAAGGAAAAAAGCTTGTGTGTTTAGCTTTGTTAAGCTGGAAAAGAAATTAAATAGTTAACATGTTTATCTTTCCTGTGTAGTAGCAATTATCTTTCAGTTCTTTCCACTTCCCCATCTCAAAAATTACATCTACCCAATCTATAAAAAATGAATTGAAAGTCTAGAAGAAAAAGGAAGATTTTTTTATCACTGCATAGAAAACCTGAGATTTTCACTTGCCGTTTCACTGCAGAAGAAGCTGGGGATTTACACTGTTCTTTCTTTAGTTCCTTCGAACCTGCAACGTTATTTCATTTTTTGCATTCACTTTTTATTACAAAATAATATTGATGTCCCATGAAACTATACATTTGCATTTAGTGAGAGGAATCAAACACTTACTAGGAATTTGTTTTTTGAATTTTAAATACATTTAGGTTATTAAAAAAACAAAACAAATATTGTTTTCTCTATAAGTCACTTTGAAAAAGCAACAGAAAACTTCTTAATCCTATTCATTGATGATGTTAATTTATGCTAATTATAATGTAATCTAGGTGGGTTTTTACCTTTATGGCAGCGTTTATATCCTGAATTGCGGCAAAATTATCACCCATCTGGAGACAGACTACAGCTCTTCCTTCATAGGCTAGGCAGCTCTTTGGATCAATGTCTATGGCAATGGTAAAGTGGTTCCAAGCTTTCTGGAATTTTTCTTGGGCCTAAAATAATTTTCCATTTACACAAAGTAGGAAATTGTCCATAACATGACAAATGTTTATGAGTCTAACTTAAATCAAATAAAGCCTTTAATAAGGGTATATTTATATTGTGCTAAATCTAAACTACTTTAAACATGGATGCAGGCTGTACTGCAGGGGCATTCAATTGACTGATTACCTCTGAGTATTTATGCTGAAATTTTAATTAATTGAATCTAATTGTCAGAGTCATCTCATATCAATCTTGGACAACACAAAGTCACAACCACCATGGGAAACACCCAATGCTTCTGACAATCACCACAAAATTTACATTGAGCTCTGCACACACAGGCAGGAATCATTTACTTGCTTGGCATTGAATCTCCAGTTATACATAATATACAATAAAGTAAACGTGTTGAATAAGTAAACGGATAAGCTAATGGTGTAAAACCTATCTGACAAACTGTACCAGCAACTGGAATTTTAGGATCACTATACACATTCCATGGAAAATGCATGCAAATCTACCAAGCAGCTGTACCAACCTTATCACCAACTGGAAAAAAAGAAAAAAGGTCAGGAGAGGGACACCGTTAATAGGATGATGTCAGAGTATTTCCTAGAGAATTCAGAAGTCCCTATACAGAGGTTTGTCTGACCCAGGCATGGCTGGAGTCCACTTCAAAACTTTCATGCATTGTTTATCCTCTTTAGCTTTTCACTAATTCAACAGGACAAAATCTATGGAGCCCAGGTATAAGCTAGTGAGACAAAACTGAGCTAGGCTCTTTTTGTGAAATTCATCAGGCAAATTTTAAAAGTTATCTGTAAGTGTGGTAGGTTTAATGGGGTGAGGTAGAAAGGGGTGCAGGCTTAAGGAAACACAAGTTCAGAAGACTGGCATCTCATTAGCACACCAGGTCCCAGGGTATGCTGCCCAGGCAGATTCCCTGTAACTCGTTAAACCCCTGCTTCCCACTGCTCCGCTGGATACTAACAAGGGAAAGGTGAAGTGCTCACAGCCAAAGAAATAACATGTATTCCCATCACCAGTAAAGGGCCAAATATATTCTTTTTCTTGTCCAACAGGTGTTTTCATGGTCCAAACTATTGTTATATAATATTACCTGCAAATTATAGCTTAAATAAATTCTGGCTTTTGTACACACTGGATTAAAATGCAATGCTTTCACAAAGTCCTTCTGTGCTTGTCTGGTGGCCTCCTCGTGTCCGTATTCCATGTAAGAATTTCCCCGTCCAATGTAAGCATCCAGAAAACACGGATCAATTTTAAGAGCCCAGGTGAAGAAATTGACAGCTTCTTCAAACTCTTTATTTCTGAAAATAAACGAAAATATTGATGTTTTCTGGTGAATTATCTAAGTGCTTTCCTGTATATTAACTTTTTAATAAAGAAATGCTTTGTCTCTTAAAAAGGCTTTAATTTTTATTGTCTGTCATAGGAACTAAGTATGTAAGTCCACGTGACTGATGCGAGTCTGACAGGTTCTTTGAAGACATTGGTAAAGGAAATGGGCGACAGGGCCATTTTTATAGCAGAGTATGCTGAGATTATAATCTAGAGTTCTTTTTCAGAATTATGTAAATCTGAATGGCATTCTTGAACATGTTTTTAACAGCTATCAGTGGCCTATATGGAAAAACATGTGCTATTACTGATAAAATACACTATTTACATCTGTTTAAAATAAATTTACTGTTATATATTTAATATGTCCTCTATAATGAAAGGAACTAAATTTTCCCCACTTGGGAGTCCTTACTTCAGATATTCTACAAAGGTAGCCCATTTCACTTTAGATACTAAGAGAGGAAGGGAGAAAAAGAAGTAAAGTGTATTTTATTTATTAACTTGTGACTAATTGTTAATTAATGTTAATTAATATGTGACTAAATGACAACTCTGTCTCTCTAGCTTCCCTAATTAGTCTCTTGTGGTGAGGTGGCAGCTGTTGAAGGAATAAAATATTTGCTCATGGGTATATAAAATCACTTTTCCATTTAAAATGCATATCTAATAATTATATGTAATCTCAATTAATATGGAGAGTCTAGAATTTTTTTAAGAATAGAATGAAGGTGCTAACTTTGAGTAACTGCTTACTTACCGGGTACTGTGCTAAGTCCTTTACATATGCAATTTTACTTAATCCTGCCAACAATTCTGTAAGCTTGTTATAATTTTCCATATTTTATAGAGTAAAAGAATATCAAAGCTCAGAAAAGTTTGCACAAAGTAAATAACAGTAAATAGCATGCTAAGGTTGCACAGAGCAAATATCTGGAATTCAAACTTAGGTGAGCAGACTCCAAAATCCATACTTTCCCACACAGTCATCTCTACCCACATTCTTCACCTTTATCATACTTGTAGTTGGTGCATGAGAGCCAGGGAGCTGATATCCCAACAGTGCAGTCAGAAGAAAGGCTTAGAGTTCAAACCTAAGCTGAACATACAAATTACCACCAATTTTTCAAGGTTGTTAGGAGGATCAAATGACAGCATGTGAAAACCCTTGGCACAGAAACCCTCACCCAATAAAGACTATTATCTTCCTTCCATTCTTTTCATTATTTCTCAAAAAGGTTTCAAAATTTAACAAGATGCATCACTAAACTTTGCTAGCTTTCCAGGTAAAAATACATGGAACCCAGGGTAACTGCTCTAGAAACTACCATCTCCTAGATATTACTCAGCAATATCTCTCAAAATACTGCTTCCCAAACTTCAGCCCCTCCTGCACACAGCTGCCCTACGTTCCACCTACACTATCATTTACTGAATATCTTTAAGTCAAATCACATTTTTACATACTAAATCTATTTTTTAAAAAAACTTAATTTTGATACCACAAATACAAAATCAATTATCTCATGCCATAAATAGAAGGCAACCAAAAAATAAAGAAATACTAGAGTTGGATACCATAGTCTACAGAAAGCTAAACCTGAGACCTGCACTGTCTATTACAAAGTGTTGGAAAGATGTTAGAGGCTAACTCTTAGCTGAGACCTTCTCCTTGATGTATTCAGAGGGTCTGAGAAAGAATTCAGCTGGAAACCAAGAAAGCAATTCAACTTCTCATAATGTGATTCAATTTTTTAATGAAAATTAATGAAAAAAATTAAGTGAAGCACCAGGAAACTTGGCTTCCAATGAAGGTTAACATCCATGTATATGAGCCAATGGGTGTCTTCTGAGCTCACTCTGTGGATTCTCACTAAGCGAACAGGTTCAGTTCCCTCGGGTAGTTTACAGTGAGATCGTGCTCCTGTTTCCTGGTAACTGGCACTATTTAAGAAGTAAAAGCTCACTGAATATAAGTTCTCAATGCTTGTGGTTGCTTTCTCACTATATTACAGAAATAATTCTAGCATAGATAATAAATGCTTTATCAAGAATAATTACACAGAAGTAATTTTGTACAAGCTGCATTTAGTTGATAGGTTCTGTTATGCTCAGTATTTCTACCTAAGGGTAATGAACTATTTACTTATGATGCGTACCTATGGTGACCATGTAAACTGAAATTTCCAAGGTAACCCCAGTTCTCCCATATTTTTCCCATAAATCACTGAAACGTTTCTGACATCCAAATTGCATTGTACACATTGCTCCCTACTTACCCAGAGGGAGATTTAAAATCCTATGCCAATATATGGTTTATAAAACATAATCTCACTCTTTATATAGACTAACCAATTTAAAAAGAAAAAGAAATGAGGCAATAAATTGAAGCTATTTTTCTAGGCTTATCTAGTTATCAGCACTAATGTTTAATGAACATCTAGTCTGTTCAGACTAAATAAATAATCATTAAACCTTTAAGCTGGAAAGGGACCTTGAATGGCACCTAGCAAGCTCTTCAAAGCTGATGATAACTAAAAATCAAGTCCACAGGAGATGACAGAGCCAAACCGGAGACTCCTCAGCCCCCAGCACCATTAGGGAAAAAAAAAAAAAACAACTCAAATGCCACTATAGAAACAGCAACTTCATTTTTCTGAAGATGTGCGTATCACACAGTATCCTGTAGATCGAAGTTCTTGTTAAATAACCTGCAGTTAGACGATGGAGAAACGTGGCTGAGTATCTCTGTTATATCAGGATACATGTTCACTGGCACATAAATTGGTAAACATCAATCATCACAAACATAAAAGTATATTAAATTAACTTTTATAAAATAAAAAGTGTTTGTATAAATCTAAAAGAATGTGATTGCTGACAGAAGGTGCATGACTCTCACTACCATGTCGGTTTAACTAAGGATCGTGTGCTGAGCTCTCAGGCTACAGGCCACAGACACCGAGGCCCACCGCATTGTCCAAATTAATCACATACGCGACCAGATGTGCCCTACTGCTGTACAAATAAATCATAAATACCTCCCAAAACTAAAGAATGTGGCTTGCAGAGCCAAAGGTCCAAAAATACTTTATGCAAAGATAAGAATAATAAAATAAATGTGCTCAAATAAAAAGTGGACAGAATATGTAACTCCGAGCCATCAGGCTCTCCTCCTGTGACTTTTTTTTAATCTAAAGGTGGTTTTCTCAAAGAGATCTAAAAATTAACTCTACCATAACACTCTTAGTGACCAAATGGGGCGACAAGTAGGATATTCAGCCTAAGGAATGTTGTCTCCTAGCAACCACAAGAGTGAGAGCCAGAGAGATACAAAGGCATACTTGAAAAGTCTAAAGCCCCACGAGTTCAAAGATCAAAGCCCTAAAATTTAGAGATGTATTCCTTTTTTAAAAATTTTCCAAATGGGACAAATTTTACCTTCGCCACTATGAGACGCCAATAGTGAACCTCAATATTTATTAACCATGCTGCTGTAGTAATAAGTGTGTTACAGCTCACCTTGAAAAGCACAAATATTTCTCCTGAAATAAATACAGCCAGTCACTAAACACTCCTTATGGTTAAATTCAGTGAAACTGTTGAAACTCAAAGTACATGGAATTGGGACTGTGAGTTATCGGAGCTTTACTGTCTATTTAAATTCTACTTTTATTAAAGGACAATAGAGATTCTAGCCGGCTGATGAAAGTTGGTTATTTGGAATTGCAAAGCAGTATCAGCTTAAGGAGGCTCCACCATATATACCCAGTGATTACATTTCATAAAAGAGATCGGGAAATGACACATGGAGGAATTTACTGAATCTAATAGTTGCAAAATACAGGAACGAGGTTGAGGAAAATTCTGGAGTCTGTTTTTAGTTTTAAGAGAATTCAGTGACCTCGGACGTTTTCGGTCTGCGCTCACCCACCAAAACAAACACACCAGTCCTCGTTATTCTGCCGCTTTTTAAGAATGACAGTTACTTAAAGAGACGGATCCTACAAAGGTTACTGGATTAGAATAGACAATGGTGTGACTATGTTTTGCTGTCTGTATAAAATTAAAGGTCTGAAACCAGTTTAGGCCTTTTAAACAAAAACACCTTCACAAGTTCTAGGTATTATACTATGTTCCTATTTTAAAAATCTAACTCTTACAGGGAAATGTAGCTGTACCACCTATGTCCTAAAAAGGGGGAAAGAATGTCAATTTTCTTAAATAATTCAAATCATGTTCCATTGTCTAAATTGGATATTTGCACAGCCTAGTCTACTACCCTAATTTCCTCATCCAATTAACTGTTATTGTTTCTCTCGAGAAAAATAACTTGTGAACTATTTCTTAGGCAAATACATTCGACATTAAAATATTCATGTGCTGAGTTTTCATGCTTTTAAAAGCAGAATGTCCAGAAAGCAATTTTTAGATGTAAAATGTATATGTAGCAATGTAAGTATTACAGTTAGGAAAATCAGTCACTGTACTCTAATATTATCTCAGAGTAAATTTTAAACTGATCTGCTTCTGTATCTTAGCTTTATGTCACTGTTCTTTTCTCCCCTTCTACACTTACTTATTTTTATTAATACCAGAAACAGGTAATAATGTTTTAAGTAATATGTTTTTTTTGTAGATTTTTATTCTATCTTGTAAATATTTACTGGTATTGTTTAAATTAGCTTTAGATTAAGAAATGTTTTCTACATGCAAAATTTTTTTGGAAATATAATATTTTCCTAAATCAACCTCCCTTCCAGGAAATAGGCTTTTTTAAAAGTCAGCTCCATTTCATGAACAAAACTAATTACTTGATTTTATTCTTAGATATTTCAAGCTATGCATGATTCTGTTCTGTGTATTACCACAGTCAAAATTTCCCAGTAAATGGGCTTGAATCATCAGATGGATCCCCCCAGTGCGGCGAAGCAGGGTATTTACTTGCTGCCTTGGCTGAAACAGTTCATTAGAAGGTAGAAGAGTGCTAAGGACACACTTAGATGTGGTCCCCACTTCTCTATAGGGCTTCTTTGTGTCTCTCCCCACTTCTGTACTGTCACTTCCACAACATTCTGCTCCCCTTCTTCTATTCTAATTATAAATCGATAGTCCCACGCATGTTCCCTTCAACAAAAATGGCACTCCATACCTGTGATAGCACATGGCAGTGGCTTGACAAAGGCTCACACTAGTCTTGCTTATCAGGGCAGCTTGTTTAAAATCCTGAAACAGTTTTACAAATTTCTGTTAATTTTATGACATTGTCTTTTGTGCTTTCTTAAACTTCCTTCTAACTTTGATTCTACCATGAAAATACTTAACACAAGCATTAAAATATACAACTTCTTAAAACTTTATTTTCCCTTTTAGGATCACATTAGAGTGGGAGTGGCTGGGACAGAGGAAACCCATAACCACAAGCTCACTCATAATCTGGTGTTACTCTCTCCACTTTTCCTGCGCTTCTGCCTGCTATGTGTAACGAGCTCTCTCTTTTACCTTCTTTTTATTGTTGTTGGGTTTTTTCCCCCAGTGAACACCACCAAGTACTTATCTATCCACACAGAGACAGAAACTGACCTGCAGAGAATCTTTGACGTTATGTGACTATAGGACAAGCAGGCACCCAGGCCCAGGGAAAGGGCATAACCGAGCCTTTCGTGTGGATCCTCTAAGGCTGCTCCTACCTTTGCAATCCACACTTCAGGAGAAAAGTTAAGTATCATTTGGTCCAGGGACCCTAGAGGCCTCCTGAGAGGGAGCAATGGAAACTCTGACTGCAAGATCTGAAGTCGGGGAAGTCAGCTGGGATGGACCTGAATGGCACTGGGGAAGAGGCTGTGTAAGGGAATTAAAAGTGCTAAGTCGGCCAGAGATCCCTGCCACTGTGGCCCCCGAACATGGTCCTCTATTAGGCACCAGGGTCTGAAGCTCAAAAGCTTTTCAAAGCCCTATAAAAACAACTGAATCCTGAAGCAAAGTAAGAACATCACTAAACTGAAATTAATAAAATATTTAAATAAACAGCTACATATCAAAGGATCATGTCAACTGCAATGAGGTGTGTGTGTGTGTATGAGATATGAGATACAGACTGAATTCAATGTTTGCCATAATGTGGGAAGGAACCTTCCAAAAGTAAGAGTTCCAGACCTATGAAGGGACGAAAACAGCGCTGCTTTTTCCCAGAAGACAGCTTCAGCAGGAATCTTCTTGGGCAGTTCTCGTAGGGAGCTCCCTTGACCACGCTAGACTGTGGAGAGTACTTGCACCTCCCCTGGAGTGACAAAAGGAAATCCTTCCAGACTCCCTTCCCATTTCCCTGAGGCTGGGATGAGGGCCCTTGACAGCCTTGAAGGACAAGTGTCAGAGTTCTGGTTTCTGCCCAGCTAGAGAGGACCCAACCATAACGACAGCCTCTTTCTCCTCCCATCTCCTCCCCCCACCCCTTCCACAAACCTTCCTTGCCGGTAGGAGGGAGAGGAGGCTGGCTGTTTTATGGGGTAGAGTAAGTCTGGGGCTAATACTGGGGGTGGAAGCGGGAGCAGCGGGTCAAACTGAGCGCTCCGCGGCCCTGCAGGAGGGGAGGGTATTAGTCTGCGGAGCAGCCTGAGAATATGGACTCCCCGCTTAGATTCCTGAAGCGTAATTTTGATACCAAATGGAATTATTTGGAAGAAAAGAAAAAATGTATTGTCTAATCAAATATAACCTAACCAAAACACTACTCACAATGCTTACACTTCTCCTTACCTCTGAGTTCCACTCTCCACAGTCAATCATTTTTACATCTTGCTGTTATTTCTTCGCTATTTACCTTCAAATGTCTAAATAATGTGAGTATCGTATCATGTTTAACTTCAACATAGGATAGAATTTAGCTATCTTACTCCATCACTCCATACACCTCCTCTTCTCCCACCATCCCTATATTATACCTGTGACAATGTGTTTTTTAACTCTCTACTTTTCTTCTGTCAAGTAAGTGTAGGATCTTTGATCACCCACTCATATTTAACTTTGAGGCACTAAAATCTGGAAAGGTAGTTTGTGGTGTCTAAGCATCTCTTCTCCGCTATCTTTAACTTTGTGGAATTATAGCTTTTTTATTCTTTTATGTTTTCTTGGTTTTCAAGAGGACAAAGAAATAAACAAATATTCTCAATTCAACAAGTTTAACCATTGGCTTCCTAAACAATGCTGGTCTAAAGGATCAAGGTGTTCTTATGAAGATCACACAACTATCAATTAACTAGTATGTTTTCATCTCTCATCCCACTACCTCTCTGCTAGTTAATTATTCCCAATAAAAATTTTCCCTGCATATGTTTGAAGACTCTGCTCTCTCTCGGTTCTCCATTGAGTCCTCCTATTATTCAGTCGTATATTCCTTCATTGGTCTTCCTCAGCCACCATCTCTTTTTTTAATTTTTCAAATTAATTTCTAAATTTACACAAAGAAAACTTTTTTGGCTTTTAATTACAGGCATATCTTGTTTTCTCGTGCTTCACAGATACTGTGTGTTTTACAAATTGAAGGTTTATGGCAAGCCTGCCTCAAGCAAGTCTGTGGACACCATTTTTCCCAATAGCATTTGCTCAGTTCATGTCTCTGTGTCACCTTTTGATGATTCTTGCAATATTTCAAACTTTTTCATTATTATTGTATTTGTTATGGTAATCTGCGATCATCAGTGATCTTTGATTTTACTGTTGTAAAAAGGTTGTGACTTAATGCTCAGATGATGGTTAGCATTTTTTATCAATAAATTCTTTTTCATTAAGATATGTACATTGTTACACATAATGTTCTTACAAACTTACAGGCTGTAGCATCATGTAAACACAACTTTTATATACAGTGGGAAACCCCAAAATTTGTGTGAGTCATGTATTGCAGTATCTCCAAGGCAAGCCCGTAGTGTGTGCATGGCGTATTTTTCTAGCCTTTTTATTTTTACTTATCTACATCACTATAGGTAAAGTGTGTGTCTCGCAGCCAGCGAGAAAGTGTTGACACTTTTTAAAGATTCCATTTCAACACTCTCATTATTTTAATTGGCATGTTGACCATTTCCACTCAACGTAACTACTGATGAGGCTGGATTTGGGTCTGCCATTTTATTTGTTTTCTGCTGATCTCCTCTGTTTTCTGTTCCTTTCTTTTCTTTTTCCAAAATTATTTTGGATTGTTTAAATTTTTCAATATTCCATTTTAATTAATGCACACTCTTTCTGACTTGAGGAAGTCACATTTGAGCAGAAACCTGAAATGAAAGGAGGACATACGCAGATAGATGGGAAGAGTGTTCTATGCACAGGGAATAGCTTGCGTGAGGACCCTGAGGCAGGAAGAAAGCCTGGCATTTCCCAGGAATGGCAGAAGGCCAGAGTGGAGTAACTTGAGTGGAGAAAAGAAGACTGTGGACAAGGAAGTCAGATCAGTGAGCAGCAGTCATATCATGCAGGGTCGTCGTCGGCCTAATCAAGAGTTAGATTTTATCCTAAGTGTGATGGGAAGCCATTGGAGGGTTCTGAGAAGAGGAATAAGCTGCTGTGTGGAGAACAGCAGGCAGAGGGACAAGAGCAGAAGCAGAGAGGCCAGTGGGGAAGCTACGGCAGTCGTCCAGGGAGAGAAGGCTGAGGCCTGAATGAGGAGGAGGGCAGTGGCAAAAATGAGAAACAACTGAATTCAAAGTATGTTTTCGTGGTAGAGCTGACTGGCCTTGCTCATGATTTAGATGTAGGGTGTGAGGGGGGGGGTCAAGAATGATCACCATCAGACCATGAGCTCCTCAAGGACTGGAAATCTTTTGTCTCCATATCTTAAAAGCCAGTGTCAGAGCCTTGCCTTGTCCGAAAGAACATGGGATTTGGAGTCAAGTGAGACCTGAGTTCAAATATTGCCCAGTACTTCCTAGCTAAAAGAGTTTATTTAACCTCTTTCGAATATCAGCTTCCTCATCTATAAGCTACAGTTATAAATTGTGCGGCATTGTGGAGAACCTGGTATGTAGCACCTATGGAATGAGTAGAGTTAATGTTGTTGGTAAATACAAAATAAACATTTACTAGGTAGATAACACAGGCCCTGCAGTTAATTCTCCAACAGCCGAGGTCTTTTGCTTCCAACTCGCATTTTCCTCAATTTCTCCTCCCAACACTGTTGCCCAGAGTTCCATAGATTTTTTTTGCCTACTCCAAACAAAGTTCTTTAGCTTCCCCGACCTGAGCGAATTTCGACTGGTACGTCTCAAAACCAAAATCTTAGGGAGTTCAACTGTTGAAATTACATTTCACCATAGTGTAAACTGCCTATCATAAGGTTTCTCAGACATTTCCTTAATGATAAGTAATTCTGTGAGACAGAATCTCAGAAGATGACTCCAGAACTTGAAAAATAATACAAGCTATCTCTGGAGGTGAAAAAATAGGAAGCACTTGGCTACACAGTGTTCTGTTGTGGTTCCTGAGAGACAAAGAAGCAAAGCTGCTATCACTGCACTGTGAACTTCAAGTTGCTATTTAATTTTTGCCTGTCTCTCTTAATCTCAATTCCAAAGTTAACTCAAAATAGACAATACAGACTATAAAAATGAGAACGGTGAATTTTGTTTAATTATTCTATAAAGTGATACACCTGAAACCACCTGTGTCTTTTCTGTATGTTGCAGTGTTTGTCTTCTACTGCAGTTCTGAGTATCTGTTCCCACTAACTCAAAAGCCTATTCCCGGTAGCCTAGTCTGAGCTGCTATTTTGTGAAGCAAACAAATTTATTTTGATATATTTTCAATGTGGAATGAAGAAAACTGCAAATGAGAAAGAGCACTGAGTAGCAAAGTAAATGGTTTATAAATCATTTTATCTGCCAAATAATTGAGTTTGGTCTATAGCTAAGACACTCCCTTTGACGGAGATGATAATTTTGATATTTCATCAGTTCAGACTTTTTTTTTTTAAACATACTGGCCATTTACCTGTAATAAAAGACAAAGTGAAAGTGCACATTTTTTGCAAAGATTCCATTATTCATTCAAAGCATTTCAACACAATTCTTGCTCAAGTTGAATTATTATTCATTAATATTGCCACTTGATATCGAGAAAAACTTTTTCACTGGTTTTCAGAAGTGAACATGCAAGATCAAATGGGTTCCTTTTTACAAATAAACAGGAAGGTTTACCTCCAATGCAAAGCTGAACTGCCCCAGTTCTATGTAGATTAGTCCACGATTAATGAGGGTGTTTAATGTCACAGTTTCTCCAGCATCAAGAAGAAGCACAATTCCATAATCTGTTAATGCCTAAAAATAAAATCATCACTTACAACCTAGAGTCCACTCTTTAGAGCCTTACTGCATGGGCCATGGGCAAATGAGTTTATACCCAAGCTAGGACCTCATAATTAGTTCCTTAATGTGACTTAAAATTTATGGCCAAACATTATCCCTGTTAGGTTTAAAGGGTCCCTTTATCTAAACACTATGGACGTTGCTACTTTCTGACAAGTGCTGTGCACTGTGCTTGCACTTCACGTGCTATTTGTGAAACGGCCTCAGCATTTTTATTGTGTGTGGATTGAAGGGGGTGTGCAACACCCTTCCCCAACACAGCAGTTTCACTAAGTGTCCGTTGACACTAAAGCTGAGAGTACTCGTTACCTTCTGACATTTAATTTCTTTTTAGTGTTTTATTGTTTTCCTCACTGAAACTTAAATATCATGGAGGCAGAGATAATCCACTTTGTTCACCACTGTAAAGCCAGTAACTGGCACCATGCCTGCACATACTTGGCGTTTGATTAATTTTTGTTAAATGAATAAATCATAAAGCAATGAAAACAGAGATTATAAAATTAACAAGCACTTGTTGGAAAATTACTTCAATACTTTTATTTTTAAAAAGATACTCGTCTAAGATGAGAATCAAGTCAGAGGACCGTTCTCTCTTTCTTTTTTTTTTTCCCAAACATTCACTGAATGACAAGGTTTTACTGGTCATCTGCTCTGTACCACATTTGTGTTGGAGCTGAATCTCTTAACTCATTTTCCTACTGAACATTTTGTCCAAAAGAGCCATATGGTTTCATCAGAAAAGGGCCAAATCATATAAGCCTGTAGCACATGCTAACTGAAAATGCAAATAAATAGTATTTTACCATTTGTTTATTGATTCTACTCTAATGTTTTATGATTGGGCACTCAAGTGTCTGAAAGAATTGTACAATTAACTATAAATAAACATTACCAGGACTGTAAAAATAATTTGTAATTCTTGTAAAACAAACAAAACAAAACTAGAATGTTAGCAATTTTCCTTTCACAGACTCACAGATTATAAAACCGTATATGTACCAAGGTGCCTTAGAGATCCACTGAGCAGCTGATTATGTGACACGAGGAAACAACAGCTGGGAAATGAGATTTCACAAAGGTCACAATGAGCAGGCTTTGTGTCATGCCTCTGCTATTATTGTCAACCTTTCAGCCTTAAGAAAGTTACTTAACCCTAAGCTTCAGTTTCCTCTTCCACAAAAATGGAATATTGATGTCGTAAAAGTCCACTTTAAAATATTGTGATTGTGTGTTGGCAAAGCATTTAGCCCAGTGCCTGTCACACAATAAGTCCTAAATGAGTGGTAACTGTTACTATTTTTATTAATATAAGGTGGTAGGAACCAGAATTCACTTTTTCTTGGTTTTTAATGGAACCATATCTCGGGAGGATACCTAAGTGGGTTTTCTGAAGAAAGTTACTTGGGTTTCCTCAGTCTAGTGATGCCAGGAATGCTGCAAAACAGGTGGAGGGGGTCAAAAGGGAAGAGGTGTCACTGTAAAATGGCATCCGGTCCACATGCTGGAGGTCAGATGGTTTTACAAAGCCACCTAATGACTATTAACCAGAAGCAAACAAACCTGTGAACACCAATACAGGTCTCGATTCCCTGTGTAACTTGGATGTGTTTCTAACCTCTCCCTACTTCCACTTCCTCATCTGTAAAATTAGTCCATTGGATGAAAAGCATTGGGTACCTGGCAGATCTAAAATAGCCAATATGTTCCTATTCTAGTTAGGGCTCTATCTGCATATTTTTTTGTTTTTCCTTATTCATAGGCCACCGACTCTGCTCCGTATCAGAGATAACAAAGTGGTGGTTCCCTGCCCCCACTTAGACCATTGTTTACCATTCAGGGTTACCCAGAAAAGGCAGGAATGGGGGTGGGGAGAGAGTTGTCAAAGATACCTGCTGTGCAGGTTACTCTGATAAATGATCCTTTAATTAGGTCCTAGAATGGTAACAACAGCCTGTGTTAAAAAAAAATTAGTTATTCATTTGTCAACATCTTTGGAGGAAACCTGATAATCTGGTTACCAGGAAGTCTACATCCTCATAGGTAGAAACAATGTTTCTCAACTTCTTCCTTCCAGAGCAAATAAATCACTAAACTTTTAAATGTTTTAAACAGATTTAATTTTCCAAGTTTCAAAGAAATTGAGGCAGTGTGTCCAAAACAGCAGGTACATGAGGTAGACTTTCAGAAGAATGCTTCATTGACTATGGAAGTGGATAGAAACAAGGAGGGGGAGAAAAGTGGACCCCAAATAGAGAAGCAAGAGGATGGGACAGAACACTAAGAAACTACAGACTTTGGGGGGGGCGGGTAGGGGGTGGGTATAGCTCAGTGGTAGAGCACATGCTTAGCATCACGAGGTTCTGGGCTCAATCCCCCATACAAAAAAAGGAAGGAAGGAAGGAAGGAAGGAAGGAAGGAAGGAAGGAAGGAAGGAAGGAAAGAAATTACAGACCTGCCCTCTAGTGAGGAATCCTGATTGGAAAAGGACGAATGGACAAGGGGACAGTGGAGAGGGTTAAGACTAAAAAATATAAAAGAGGGCTTGCACAGGTATCGGGGCAAATAAAGGGAAAAAAAAAGAAAGCAGTTGCTGTAGCCATCAGTTGGGCCTTCAAAATGTACAGGCAATACTGGTCACTGATCCCCAGAGATGGAAACCATCACTCATGCAACTCCCTGCTGCATCTGTGGTCTGAGCAGTATTAAACAAAATACCCCCACAAACTGTTGTAGCTAATGTTGAGATTTTTAAGTAAACAATATTGCTAGTGATCACTGCTTTAAAATTCTGCACACAATTTCTCAGTAGAAACATTTTCTCAAACGTCAATTATGTAATGTATTTTAATTTATATAGCTTTTAAATGCTTATATAAGCATTGTAAAATTAATTTTTCATTTGACATTGCAGAGGAGCACAAATACATTAAATATTCTTTGAAATGGTTCTTTGGTTTCTCAAATTTTGTGTATTTCCACAGCAATTATTTTTCAAAATTATAACTGAAATAATAAGAAAATACACATGCTTTAAATATGTTTACAAATGCTTTAAAGTGTTATTTACCAAGATGGTCATCTTACCATTCGAAGTTCACTTATCTTGGTGTAACATAATGCTCTGTTATAAAATGCTATATAACTAGTTTTGCTCATGTTGATAGCTGTAGTTAAATCTGTAATTGCTAGTTTATAAGTCTATAAAGGAAAACATAATTAAGTGAGAAGGGTTACTCATAATGGACTGAAATTTAGTTGTAAAACAAATTCTTGATTCTATTAGAGTTTTGGGAATACTCATTTAACCATTCTGTGTATCATCTGTGAAATTAAGACAATCAAGCTAATCTTCCATAGAATTAATTAAGAAGATCCCTTGGTAGGAAATGTTATTATAGTTTCTCTTACCTTCAAATAAAATTCAATATATAAACAACTTTAATTTAGATGACTATCTGATTGCCACTGCTGTTATACAGGAAGGAAAAAAATTAAATGTCTTATTGATAAAAGAGAAGCAAGCCATATTTATTCAGCAAACATGCACCAGAACTTGCTTCTGTCGCTAGTACTGTCATAACACATAATCGTCATGCTTTCTACCCACGTTCTCTTTTGCTTCTCTTTGATGCTTCTCTGATATCTTAGATCATCCATTTCTGTACATAGTAATTTTCATGGAATTAACAGGTAATGCAAGATCTTACCTTTTCTTTAAGGTATTCTTTGCAAAATATTTCATATGAAATAGCTACAAAGAAAGGTTAGAAAAGAAACATAGGAGAAAAAAAAGTATTCCATGAAGTATCAGATATCAGTGGTGCTGCTCACACCCCTTGACCCAGTAATTTTTTTAGGAATCAATCATCAACTCAAGCAATGATTTTATTTTCAGTGTGTATAACTGTATTATTTAAAATAATAAAATAATAAAAAATTTCAATAAACAAGTTTATACTGTATAGCACAGGGAATTATATTCAATATCTTGTAGTAACTTATAGTGAAAAGAATATGAAAATGAATATATGTATATTCATGTATGACTGAAGCATTGTGCTGTACACCAGAAATTGACACAACATTGTAAACTGACTATACCTCAATAAAAAAAACAGAAAAAAAATTCAAACAATCCAAAGGCCCAGCAAAAAGTGGTTAAAAATAAACTATGGTGGAATATTATGCAGTCGTTAAAAATTGTATCATCAAAAATTAAATGTAATAAGCAGGGCATTACACAAATTGTATAAGTAGCATAATCCCAATTTTGGAAAGTATATACTATTAGGAAAAAAGACTAAATGCAAATACATCAAAATGCTCCCAGGAATTGCCATTTGATGGTGGGACAATCAGTGATTTTAAACTTCTCCTTTATTCCTCTCTGTATTTTCCAAATTCTCTACAATCAATATATACTATCATCTTAATAAAAATAATCAGTGTTATTTAAATGTAAATGTCAAAAATACCACTATTTTATGAACAATTATGAATTAAAATCCCTTTCGATGTACTGTCAAGGTGTGCTATCTTGTACACAGTTCTGCCTTCATACCATGGCAGTTCTCCTCTCACAGAGAAAGAAGGGAAGTGAGTCCCTGTTTGGCATCCGAACATCTATCCACTCTAAAATGGCAGTGAACAAGGTAGGAGCTTGCCTTACCTTGTTGTAGTATTTCAGAACTCCTCTGCAGATATAGGCATGCACACTCCGAGGGTAAATTTTGATGGCTTCATTACAATTCAAGATTGCTTTTGAGTATCTACCTTTCAAGCCATAGAAGGCTACTCGGCTTAAATATGCCTTTTCAGAGAAAGAGAGGAGGAAAGCAGGAGTAGACATTTTAGTAAAGGCATTAATTCTACCAAAATGTATGACAGTTTAAACAAATCTATGTCACCTAAAGATGGCTTAAAATACATACTTTTTCCCTACTCTTTTTTATTAAAAAATCTCAAACACACAGAATAACTGAAATAGTACAACGAACATCCATTTGACTATCACCTGGATTCAATCATTATTAACATTTTGCAATACCTGTTTTATCTATTTTTTCTTAACTATTTGAAAATAAATTGTAGACATCATAAAACTTCATCCCAAGTCTTCCAGTATGTGTCTCCTGTGAAGAAGACATTCTCCTACATAACCATATTACCACTGTGTATATAAGAAAATTAATAGCACTCCCCTAAAATCATGTAATATTTAGTCCAAATTCAAATTTAAAATAGTTGAAAAGTAGGCATAAGTGATAAGTGTTGCTAACTAATAACAATAACATTTAAAGAGTTAATCATTTTAGCAAATTTAACACACTTTCCAAACCACTGAAATTATTTATTTAATTACCTGGTAATGTTTTGGATTGAGGGTAATCGCACGATTAAAATCCAGGATTGAGCTATCTTTGTGGAGTTTTACTTTACAAAGACCACGTTGATAAAAGCCTTCTGCAAAATCAGGATTTGCATTCACAGCTTTTGTAAAGGAATCAACTGCCTAGAAGAGCATAGTGTTAAAAAGCAAATTACTTAGTAAGTAGAATATATTAATTTAAAATGTAAATAAATTACAGTATGTAGTTATTGCTGAACAGCTTTCATTCTATTTTTTCACCATTTTAAAATACATTTCTCCCAGTGAATCTTATGGACCAAAAAACTATTTATGAACAAGCCAGATTTATTAACATAATATACAGATTCCCTTATTCCCAGACTAACATCTACATAATCCATGTGGTTGGGTTACAGTACTTTGGGAGGTATACTTCCAATCATTATTCTTTACATTGTGTTTCTTCGAAGAAATCACAATTAGTACATCTATTTTCCATGCAAGCCAACAGACACCTAGTTATGAAATTTCAAAACAATGGAACGCCAAGCATTTGTCCAATATTGTAAAGCAAAATGAGGTTTCCTCTGGTTGTCAAAAAGGGCTAAAAACATGAAAGAGATTTGTAATTAATCTTACATTTCTTGGAATTTCTTAATGGAACAACTAATGAAGTGCAATTATTTTTTAAGGTTATGAAGATGCAAGTTTCAGACACTGTGAATATAAGGACTGGAATGGTGTGTGTGTGTGTGTGTGTGTGTGTGTTTGTATGGAGCTGTAATATAATCTAAGTAGTGACTGGAAAATATCAATTTACATATTTATCATATCATTGACAATTCTGAAATGGAGAATTGTGTAAAACAGCCAAATGCTGAATAAATACATAATAATTGAACCAACTGGCTTTCAGTGAGTCTGGCCATCTAAACAGTCAGTTTTATTCTGATTTGAATTGTTCAGTTGTCACTAAGAGAAATCAAACAATACAAATCAAACAATACCCTAATCAGTTTCCATTCATTCTACATTACATTGAAGCACTCAATTTAAAGTACTTTTAATTTAATAAGTACATTTATATTAATATGATGAAATTATTTTGTTAGAATAATTTATTACAGTTAGATTTATTGTTTTGGTGGAAAACACACATTAGTCTTTAGAATATTGTTGACAAGCAAGTATCAAAAAAATGTGAATAAATGAAACAATGTAGTAGGTACTGCAGTATCAGACTGACTTTAGCAAGCCAAGCTTTGTAAGAGGATTTGGTCTAATCACTCACTGTTTAAGTAGACTTCAGAAATGGAACTGAAGGCAAGTAAACAATTTCTAAAATAAAAAATAACCTATGCTCCTAAATGCACAAATTACCATTTGTAAGTTGCCTTCCTCCATGTAACAAAGTCCCAAGTGATATAGACAGTCTGCTGAAGCTTCTATGGCATTTGGTCCTTTCTCAGAATGAGAAAACATATCCAGTGCCTTTTTGAACATTCTCATGGCTTCCTATAGTGATTTTTTTTTAAAGAGAGAGGGAAAGGAATATTTCTTTCTTATATTTATTTAACATGACAGCTTTAAGTGTTAAAATGAATCCTGAGCACACAGCTCTACTCTCATTTCACACGAGGACACGCCAACCAGCTAAAGACACTGAGAAGAGAACCCAGGTGGGGCATCTGATCACAGCAAGACCCCCCCGGGCGCCTGTGCTGCAAGTAGGTACTAAGCAGGCTTACACACATGGACTTTTGGAACTATAATTTCTAAATTCTAAAGGCTATTTTCCTGTAGTCTTAAATCAGACTGAAATTTATAGACTAGTTTATGACCAGTTTCCAAGCAATACTCCTAAAGGGAATACTGGACGGCTATTAGGCTGTAAAAGTTCTCCAATGACAATATCTGAGATAGTTTTAATCAAACTTTATTATGTCCTCCTATGCTCTTAAGGGGGGGTTCCACTGACACTAGAAAATAAGGTAACATCAAAAAATTACTCATTTATAGATAAACAGCAAAGTTGTACTGTATAGCACAGAGAACTATATTCAGTATCTTGTAATAGCCTGTAACAAAAAAGAATATGAAAAGGAATATACATATGTATAACTGAATCCCTATGTCACACACCAGAAATTAACACAACATTGTAAACTGGCTATACGTCAATAAAAATGAATAAATAAATAAATAAATAAATAAATAACTCATTTAAACTATTCTATCAAAATGGTTGAAACTCATTAGTGAAAAAAAAATGTCAATTTTCCAGGCAGAAACACCTTTTCATAACTAGCTACTCAGTGTATCTATACGGATATACAAATACTTATGAATCTTTAGCCCATTTTCTCAATTATATTAAACTGCTAAAGAAACAGTGAGGTTTAACTTGGACATGCTAAGTGTCCTTTGTGCCCACCAAGTTTATGCCACATGGTTACAGCCCACTTCAACATCCATTCTTCCATTCTCACTCTTCGCACGAGAACTTGCCATAGAAAAAAATGCATCACCGTCTCAAATTCTATACTTTTGACTTTTCAGAGTCTCTATCTTCTTCCCTTTGCACCTTTTCCCTCCTGTCTTTGGTTTCCTTTCTCCTCCTTTTCAGACCTAACTCCTCAAGCTGGGTCTTTGACTACCTGCTCCTTCCGCCCCAGCTGAGAAGCCTGTTACCTCTTTTCTCTTGCAGATCTCCGCCCCTTCACCGTCTCCGTGAGTCCATAATGCCTCCCTCCCGTTTTAAGTTACAGTGAACACACCTTCACTTTCTCCGGCTTCTCCTCTAGCTGATGCCCACCTTTCTCTCCATCACTGTTCTAAAAAATCTCCTCAGGAAGCCCTGGAGGGGCTGCAGGTTAAGGCATACTTACATTCTGAACACAACACTGTGGCAGCTCTGTGGATAAAAGCTTGGAAGAGTGCAAGACTTTTCTATAATTCAAACAAAATAAAAATATGTTCTGGACTAGGATAACGACTATAGAAACAGAGAAAGGACGTGGATTTGAGAGATACTGAGAAAGAAGAACCAAGAGAAAATGACTATTGATTGGGTAGAAGAGGGCAATCCAAGGTGACCTCAGGCTCCTGGCAGAGCTACGTGGGGAAGGCAGGGAGGTGAGTGTAAATGGAAGAGTATTCCAAAACAGGAATTCGGCATCTCAGAGATGTCGGTTCTCTCTAAAATAGTCTAGAGGTTCAATACAATTCAATAAAAATTCCAGCAGGGTCTTTAATCAATCTTGACAAGCTGAATTTTAAAATGTATATGGAAGAATAAAAGCCTAAGAATAACCAGGAATTTCCTGGAGAAGAATATAGTGTGCTGACTTGCTCTATCAGGTGTCAAAACTTACAATACAGCTATGGTAATTAAGACATTGTATAATTAGGCCAGGGATAGAAAAATTGACCAAAGGAACAGAATAGGGAGCCCAAAATCAGATCTGCACATACATGAAAAGTTATGATAGATGTACCACTACAGATCTTTGAGTTAGGAGTACACTGTAATTAATGATCCTGGAACATTCGAGTATCCATATGGGGAAAACTGAAATTGTATCACTCTCTTGCACTCAAAAAAAATCAGTTTAGGGTAGAGTAAGGTTCTAAATGAAAAAAGCAAAACTTTCAAACTTTTAGAAGAACATATGGGGAAATATCTTTATGACCTTAGCACAGGGAGGACTTCTTAAACAAGAGAGTTGTTCAACTACATTAAAATTAAGAATCTCTGTTCATCAAAAGACATCATCAAATTGCAAGAGGATAGATGGCACACATATAACCAAGCAAGGATTAATACACAGCACTTAGTTTTTCAATGCCCGAAATCGATAAGAACAGAACAAACAAACAAAAAATGTGTACAGGATGTTGATAGAACAGGAAATGAGCAGCCAATCAACATATAAAAAGATGTTCAAACTGAAAAATGTGCATTAAGACCACAAGGAGACATTAGTTTTTATCCACCAAATTGACAGAAGTCAAGTCTGACACCACCAGCCATCACAAAGGGTGGAGAGCAACAGGAACACTCATACCCCACAGGGGAGAGAAAAAATGGGTACCACCCTACGGAACAATGTTATATTTTCTCGAAAGTAGAACATTTACATTCTCTCCATGCCAGTATGTTAACAAGACATGAAAAAGAATATTTATAACATCCTTACTCTTAAGAGGAAAAAATAAATAAAAGGAAACAATCCAAATGTTAATTAACAGAATAAATAAATAAATGGTATCATTTAAATTTGCAAAAAAAATGTAAGCTGTAATTCTAAGCACAATATAAAAATTCCGTTAATAGTTTTAGTAAACGTTACAGAAGACTTTTCACCTTGTTTCTCTTGGCCTTCATTTGAGCTTTTGCTAATAGAGCACACATGGTGATATCAGGCCTACTCAAAGTGATTCCGTCCAAGACCTGCATGGCCTTGTCATGGTTCTCACAAAATGAATAAATGAGGGCTTGCTGTATAGGACTCAATTCAATGAGACCTAAAAATAAAGGAAAGTTTATCAATAACTTTGCCAAGTAGCTAGGATTTAGAATATAATTATTTTAAGGAAGTTGAGCAATCTATAGTCTATCTTTCTAATATGAATTAATAAAGCAATATGATACTAAAATCTCTTTACTATCTATGAACAACAAGACATCCCAAATACAAACACAAAAAATAAAAGTATCAGCCTGGTATTTCTTATAACAATCTCTCACAAAATTTACTATGTTATGAAGCATTTTACTAACTGGTTATACACATGTGAAACTGAAATTTTAAAGTTTCAAAATCTAACTTTGACTTTCAAGTGAGTCCTTCATGTTATACATAGCTGTTGCAAATAGTATAAAAAATTTAAAAGGTATTTTTTAAATTAAGATAATTTTAATTTTCTATTTAATTATATTTACCTTTGTTCATTTCTGCTATTTGATAAATAGTGAACTTTGCAAGATCATAAAATTTCATTTTAAGAAGATACTGTCCTCTGTAAGAAATAATAGCTTTTTCATTCAGAGCAGTTAATCATTTTTTTCAAAAAAGATTTTTATACCCAGTTACTTAAAATTTTAAACTATAATACATTCATTTATACTTATATATATATATGATGAAAACAATGCAAAGGTTATAAACATTTTATGCATGTCTAAATAGGCCAACCAGCATGGAGATGCAAGGAGAAAACAATTTAGGAAACATGAAGCTGAAAGAAAAGTACTCAAATCTTTCTATACTTATCAGTATTTAAAATGTTATATTCTGTTGCTGAGAAATTATAAAAGATAAACACAGTTCAAGGGACATAAAATATGGCTCAAGAGTTAAAAGACAAAGCCAACCCTTATCAGAAAGCATTGTTCCAGTGCATTTTCCCACATCTGTTAAGCCCATTTCCCATGTTAGTGATTATAACATATGTTTAGTAGTGATAACTCATTAATTTGCAATGGGTCCCTTTATAGCAAGCTCTACTGCATTTGAAATACAACTCAGTGTGTCATTTTTTTTCCCACAGAATTATCTGAGTTTTATACTTGGTACCTCGGGACACAATCAAACAACCGTTCATGAGATCTGTGATAACTATCTAACTAGTAATCGAGAGAGGCTTCAAAGAACTTAAACACTAAACAGTTGTGTTTTGATGCAAGGAGAGAACGAAAGGAAAGGTCTGGTTATCTCATAAATTATCTTAAAGCTTAACAAAAGCAATAACTATATCTGACTGGTTGGGGATGGCCATTTCTGGGAGATTAAATATAGAACAAAGGATCAAGAGAGACCTAAGGATTCCAACATCTAGCTCAGATGCTAAGTTATCCTAAGAAGAATTCCATTTCTATGTTCATACCTCATTATATATAACTGGGTCCCATCTGGCTGGAGGTGGATAGCACGAGATAACTCTCTCACTGCCTTTTTCAATTTATGCAACTGTTGAGTGATGAACAGAAACAGTATTATATTAGCTCATTATAATACTGGTTGCTTCCTTTCTGATATTTATCCCCGCCCACACTTCAATACAGAAATTTTGCAGGAATCTCTCCTAATGTACATGTTTTCCTTAAGTATCATCAAAACAAGTGGGATACAGAGAAGTAAAAGAAAAAAAAAGATAACAATGCAAAGCCTTCTGTTTTTTTAAAATTATCTTTAATTTTTGAAGAATGATCACATATACCCACTATATAGTTTTAAATAAATATGATTATATCATACATTCTAGTTGTTTTTTTTTGTTCTGTTTAGCTTTTCAGTTTTTTACCCTCAACCGTAACATCTTTTTCACCATTCAGGAAATTAAAATCTTTAAAAATCAAACTTTTAAAAATTAAAGATTTTAAAAACCCATATTCTCAAAACTTAAGTACCTTATGATAGGCTTCCGCTCGACAAATATACCCTTGAATATATGAAGGGTCAAGTCTAATAGCCTCAGAAAAATACCAAGTGGCTTCTATGTAGTTATCTAGGTATAGTAGATATATGAGGCCAATATTTATATAAGCCATAGTAACAGTTCTAAAAAAAAAAAAAGAGAAAACAAAATCTTATTAGACATTTTAATTATTCCAAATGTTCTCAAATTATAAATGAACCTAATGAAATACACACATCAATAAATATCAGGGTTTTGTTTTTTTTCAATGTTTTACTAAAGCAAAGTACATTTGTTAATTACTTTCTATTAAAAATTATGAGCATCTTTATAAAATCCTTGATAAGGAATAAACATTTGTAGAGTCTATGCTAGGAACAGAATTCCTGAAGTCTCCTAGACTCTTAGCAATATTTCACTCTTCCTTGACTTAATCTTGACTTATCTTGAATTTACAAGCTTCTTTTTCCTCAACTCAATTTTTGCCTTAGGCTATGTTATATTCACCATGAGGAAAGGTGAGGAAAAGTGAGAAACAGCAATATTCTTGAGGCGTAGGGTTAAATATCCTCTCCACATAAGTATTAACCCAGCTGCTTTTCTGTATCATATAAACGTTTTTCTCTCCTAGAATCAAACCATTTTCAATATAGAAATGACCTTAGAAATCATTTGCCCCACTATGCCTCCGTTTCAGAACGAGGAACCTACACAGCTTGCAGCCCAACTTCATGCAAACCCTGACCCTTTGCCTACTGCCCACTTCCTGGCTTTCTGCAGCTGGTACTCATTTCTTTCTCTTCCTGACTCAAAAATATGCAAGAGAAAACCACTGTGGCCATTATGGAGCCATGCTCCATGACTTCCCTGAGTCAACGTCAAAGTTTACCTTAAATAAGCTAAGTCAGCAGTCTGCTGGTTGCACAGAATTGGCATGATTTGCTACTCTTTCTGACACCCTCCATTTTAATGAATGCTTCTTTGGAAAGAAGAGTAATTATTTAATTAAATTCTGTTTTTCACAGCCTGGCTTTCTGACTGGCGTATGTAACTTTCAGTCTGTTTCTTCATGAACCTCTTTTCTAATGGTATTTGCTTTTTCCTTTTGCTTTACTAAACAAAATGTAGTCAGAAGTTCTAGATGGAAGATTTCCTCCCAGTGAGTCATACATTGTACATACCAACAATATATCAAGCAGAGTATTTTGCCATTATTTTGAAACTTGATGACAGTTTTCCATGAACTTAACTTCAAAAAGTCCTAATCTGGGCATCCCCAAACTGTTTTTAATTACTTACTGATTTTGTTATCCATGGATTTAAATTATTCTCAAATCCATTCAATCTCTAAAATTCGCAAAAGCATCTGAGGCAAACAGATGTTGAAAACAGCTCTTATTTTAGAAGTAATCTTATTTTTAGAAGTAGTATTCTAATTCTAGGATGACTTCATAATTGTCTCATATTTTACAAGGCCATTAATGATGAGAACAGAAAGATTTTTCTTTCATTTAAGTATTTTCTTAAACTTTTATAAAAATGAATTCAGTAAGACTAAAACAGAAAGCGTACCTTTCCAGAGAAATAACAGCTTCAAAGTCACAAATTGCGAGCAACCAAAGTTTTAGATCTGCATAGAGTATGCCTCGATGTAGAAAACAACCAAGATTCTCACAGCCATCATATATGAGAGCTTAAAAATAGAAGTATGTATCTTATTTGGGTTCTGAAAAAACACATCCGAGTTATCTTTTAGTTTATACTCCTTTCTACTCTTATTCTTATTTTTTAACATTACACAAAATAAAACCTAGCTATAATAAGTGTACTTATTTGGTGAGGAAAAAATAGTATTCACGTAAAAAATGTATTTGTTCATAAGTAGCAATGTGACTATCACACTTCACAAACTCATTGGAGCTGGAAGAAATCCTGGTGGTAATCTAGGATAGTCCACTCACTTTACAGATGCAGAGATTCAGCTCCAAAGGGGTTAGGTACATTGGCTGTGGCTGTAATGCAAATCAATGGCAAAGACGGCCCTAGAAACTAACTTATTCAGTTCAGTGGATTGAAGTCAGAAAGGTGCCACTGCCCTTTATGACCTGTTATTATCAGGAAGACAGGAAGGCATCATTATTGGCCAAGGAACAGGTTCCAGAACAAGCCCAGACTGTGGCAAACAGCAGATATCAGGCTTCTAAACATCTACCAGGAAGTGCAGCTCAAAGGGGCTACTTCAATGCAAGCAGGCCTTAGAGTTAAGGCAGGCAACCTAACCATGTATGTCCCAAAAGACAGAAGCATGGGGCAAAAATAACCTCCTCTCAGTACTCCAGGTGTGTGGCTTTCATCAGTGACCAGTCTAGAGGTCATCTCATCTCCTCACTTACTGATTTCCCCCTTGACTTTCAAAAACATGCAGTGAATTAGATGAGATTTCCACATTTGATCCATATATTCTAAGCTTCTCAAGCACATTCTTTGTAAAAAGGGAAAGTTTTGCCAAATGTGCATAATGCATGAAATGTGCAGAATGTTCAGAGTCTGGTACACAAGTATTCATGGTACTAGTTTTGGGGAAGTATACCTAATGTAAGCAATGATCATACAGATTAAAGAAATAATCACTTGAAGGCAATATGACTTTTCAATTCACAGTCTGATTGCCTAGCAAGGAGAAAGCCAGCTTCAGTTTTGGTAGTTAGTCTAGAAAAATAGAAACATTCTTCTTGAGGGAAAAAAAAATATTAGAATTACTTAACCTCTCTGTGCTTTGGTTTTCTCCCATCCAAGTACTAAGCAGGCCCGACTCTGCTTAGCTTCCAAGATCAGACGAGACTGGGTGCGTTCAGGATGGTATGGCTGTAGATTGTGCTTTGGTTTTCTCATCAGTAAAATGGGCATGACAACATTACTTACCTCACAGCATTATTCTGAAGAGTAATCGAGACACTCCATATATAGCATTTAGAATAGTGTCTGGCAAGTAGTAAAATACCTAATAAATGTTAGACATTATTATGCTTAGAAAAATATCTTGAAGGTCCTTTTTTGATTTTGGGAGATAAAACTCCTTAGGCTCGCCTAAGGGAAAGGATTGAGGCCAAAAGTAAGCAAGTCTGCTCTAAATAACGAAATAACGAGGATTTGTATTATTGTGATAGCCTAGAAAAGAACGGGTGAGGAACCCGAAACTTGGAGAAGAGGAAAATGTGAAAAAGAGGCTTTTAGGAAGACCAGGAAGAAAGCGGTCCAGCCAGATGGCAGATGGACAGGGCTGACAGAGCTAGATAAAAGCTAAACTTACAGAAATCAGGTTATTTACCCTTCAAATTTAAATTATCTGTACTAACTTTATCCTCTGAACCCTAAAACTTTCAGTAACAGACAGTAGCCACAAGAAATGAATTGGTGAACAAAAATGGAGAATCAATCAGAGAGCAGAAATTAGATGCAAGGATGACAAGGGAACTGAACAGGAATCCTCAGCCCTCTCTTCCAAGAATCCTTGGAAATAGGCAGGAGGGCTGTAGACTCCTCTCAGCATATAGGATGGGCTTTGAGTTACTTTATTTGAATATTCATGGGAAGGGTGATCTCAGAAGGCAAATGGACTTAGAGACATGAGGGAACAATCATCTTAGATTGCCTTCCCCAAGGAGCTGTGGATTCTCTTTCCAAGCGTTTAGTGACTTCCTTAATCTCTAGATTCTGCCTCACCTAGGACGATGAGATTGCAGCACTTGGCACCCAGATGAACATGGCTATGTTTGGAGTGTTGGACTCCGGCTAGACTTTGCCAGTCAAGATGAGCTCATTTATTCAGCTGGAAACTGTTTATTGAGCACTTAGCTCTGCCTAGAACTGTGCTAGACATATTTATATACCAAGAAAGTGCTGGTACAGGTTAAGGTAGAAATGGCCACTCTTAGCTGTTGGTATCCTTTAACTGAGGATTCTCAAAGCCCACTTTTGGTTTAAGGGTTTAAAAAACTCTGAATTTAACTAATTTATGGGCTGGGAGTAGGACACATCTCACCAGGAAAATTCACTGCCAATTTAGCCAGATGACTAAAAAGTACACCTGAATTTCCAAAAATATCCTTAGAACTCAATACATAGAAAGAGATGTCTTTGATATGCCATTCTCTCTTTACCACGGTTATACACATGTAAATACACAATCACACACACTAAAAGAAACATTTTTAGCTAAACAATAACAGGTTATAAGTATAAATAAATATATATACTACAAAACATGTATTTATAAGTATGTACATAGAACTATATAATAATATACATATTTCATTAGTCATCCCACATTAGTATTCCACCCCATGAAAGTGAGCCGCTGAACCTCAGATTAAATTCCTACATATGTGCAGTTGAAGGTGAAGTACCTGAAACACTATAATCCTGTAGTGCTCTTAAAGGATTACTCTTTCTAAATAAGCAGGCTCTATAATACAATGCTAACCAGTTATTAGGATCTAAGTGAATTGCAATAGAAAAATCTTGAACTGCTTGCTTATAAAAGTGCCGTTTAAAATATGTTCTCCCTCGGTATGTCCTAGAAAAAGAAAAAAAATTTCATTTTAACATGTATTGCAAAACATAAATTTTCTCTCTTTGGCAAACCTATATAACTAATTTATATTTGAACGGCAATTTGCGATTATTTCTCTTTGCTTCCCGGGAAAGTTTAGCCATGATATTAACAGCAAAAAGGATATGAACTTTTTAGAAATAAATCAATTATACTTTATTATATATAAAATTATATGCTTATTAATTATATGTTTACTAGTCTTTTATATTTTACTTTCATCAGACAGGTATATCAACAAAATAAATGATATACTCAAGATGCATTGAAAATACACCAAAATAAATGAAGGCTGCTTTATCTACATGAATAAAAGCTATTATATCCATTTTATGAAATAAATTCTATTTCCATTAACTTCTGATTTCAATGTCTTAATTTTCGTTGACCTATATCAACTCCTGAAAATCTCATTTTTGATCACTTAATAACGTGAAGGAAATCAGTTTTTAGAACTAAAATAAAGAAGACAATTAAGAAAACACAGGAATAAGTTTGTAGGTTGCCTGCTCTGATGAAGTTAAATCCAGAGGGGAGGAAAACAGGTGCTCAAGTAAGTTCTATGATGAAAACAATGGTAATCTGGAGAAAAGAGTGCAGTCAGTATGTTGGCAAACTAGTAACAGAGGTCTTTCAATATCCTGGAGCAAAATATTTTTTACTCAATGTGTAAGAAATGTCTTCTTTATTTTCTAATGAATATAAGTATCACATTAATTTTTTAAAGTTTCTGGTTGCTAAAGAATATTACTATTTTTTACCATACATATAATTCTGAACTTAAAATCTTACAGAATAAAACTTTAGTAATATTTTTTGTAGGATACCATTAAGTCATGTCAATTCTTCAAACACACTGACTTTTGCATCTGTTTCCTCTTTCAGTTCCACTGCCTCAATATTTCAGACCCTCATCAGCTCATACCTGGGATTCTATATCACTCCATTCCCGTCTCTGGAGTGATAAGATTTGATCATCAGATAATAAAGATCATTTTCTTCAAAAACTTTCAACAGTCCCCCTTCCTGACAATGGGATAAGGCCACTTTTAAATGGCATATAAGGCCTCCCATAACATAACACTACCTTACAATATCTTGAATTGACTTTCTTGTTCTCCAACTAATTTGATGCCTTCCTGCAAGTAATCCCCCTTTAAGTTAAGAAGTAGACAACCAGAATAGACCAAGAACTAGGCAGGAATTTTAAAAGAGCTTCAAAAAGCTCTCCCTTCAAATAGCTGCAAGCTGGGATAATTTTAGAAGTTATTTCAAACTTTCAGAACCCAAAAACTATCCAATCCTAAAGGACATGTTTCTAAGAAAAGAAAAAGATGAAAGGCTTAATTCATTTTGAGAAAGTAGCCAAATCCTGAAATCAAAATCTGACTATGAACCTAGTGAAAAATCTTACTCTGAATATAAATGAAAAAATCTTAAAGAAGGTAAAGACAAAGAGAATTCAGTATAGTTTACTAATATTCTATCTAAAAATATATGATGGCCAAGAGTCATTTATCCTTCAAAAATATAAAGCCTATTAACATGAAATTCTTTTAAGTAGATCACAGGAAAAAATTTAAACAGGGGAAAAAAAGATATTCCCTTGACATAATTAAAGGATAAACGGCTCAAAAACTACAACTGTGATATTTCTTTGTAGAAGCCAAAGATATTTTCATTAAATTCAAAAGATGAAGATTTTTATTATCACTAACATTATTGTTAAGTTAAAGATGATGCAATGATAAAAAGAGTTGGGAGATTAGAGTAAAGCAAAAGTGGTAGAAGAGGGAACTCCAAAACTCCACCTTTCCACAAAAGCAATGAATAAGCTGACAAAACCTGTCAGAATCAATTATTTGGGAACCCTGGAATCTAACTAAAAATTTAGAACTACCAGGGGAATGCTTAATAAAGGAGGAAAAGCTGCTGAATTTTGAAAAGAGAGCTCTGTGGCATTCTAACTTACCCTATTTCCCTACCCAACTTCCCAGACCTGTGATGGCCTCGAGGATAACAACCTGCATTCCTGGTACAGGTCACTAGTACAAGAGGGAGCAATACTGATCTTATTCTCAAAGAGCTGTAGCTGTGTGTTTTGACCTGTCTGGTGGATGACTGAAAGGTTGACGCAAATATGTCCCTCTGTTTTGACTGCCTTAGACCTTTCTCAGGGCTGATGTGACTTCCTGGATGGTATTTATCAAAAGCATTTAAAGGCAAATGTATTAGCTGCTGCCACTTGGGGTGAGGGTTACAGTTGGGGCAAGCAATAGACAAACCAAAGAACCATGTGAAGAGAGAAGCTGGAGAAAGAGATACCAGGGGAATGAGGGCTTTAGAACGTTTTCACATATTGCAGGGAATTTAAAAGGCCACATGCAAACCCAAGGCTGAAGGAATGCACAGAAAACACCTAAGAAGACCCTAAGCTCTCACCTCTGCTTAATTCAGGCTCTCTGCAAGTAGGACATGAAAGCTAAGGCACTGAAGTTGTCTAGATAAGCATTGAAGGAGTGCCCTAAAACAGTGCAAACCTGCAAAGATTGAGAAATGTTGTTTGGTTGGTTGGTTGGCTGGTTCCAGGAGTTCAAGGAAATCTCAGTCAGATCACGAGCTGACAGCAAAGTTAGCAGAACAAAGACTTCAGTGGCCACACACGACAAAGAATACAGACTTTACAAAACCTGTTCAAAAAAGTCACTAAACCAACAACATGAACGACAAGAAGTAGCAACAAAAAACCCTGGAAGAGGAGAAGCTGCGTGTGATATCCAAAGGTGCCAAATTATAATATTCAAAGCCATTATTTTTCAACAAAAAATTACAAGTGATGCAAAGGAAGAAGAAAATATGGCCCATCCACAGGATAAAAGGAAATTAATAGAAGCCATCCCTGAAGAAGCCCAGACTTAAAATTAATTGTCTTAAAATCAGATTAAAAGATTTTAAATCAACTATCTTAAATATGCTCAAATAGCTAAAAGGAACCATAGACTAAGAACTGTAGGAAATGGAGAGAATGATGTCTCAACACATAGAGAGTATCAATAAGATATTGATAGACAGAAATAGATTAATAAATTATTGAAAAAAAGGGGCCAAATACAAATTCTGGAGTTGAAAAGTACAAATACAAATGAAAATTCACTACAGGTTTCAACAACAGATTTAAGAAGACAAAAGAAAGACTCGGGAAACTTGAAGTTAGGTCAATTCAGATTATTCAGTCTGAGAAGCAGAAAAAAAAAGTGGGAAAAAAGTCTGAGATACCTATGGAACATCATCAAGCATACCAACATGTACATACATTTCAAGTCACAAAAGGAAAGGAGATAGTAAAGGAGCAGAAATAACATTTTAAAGAGTAATGGTTAAATATACCACATCTTCTTTACCCAGTCATCTGTTGATGGACATTTATACATGGAATACTATTCAGCCATAAAAACCAACAACATAACGCCATTTGCAGCAACATGGATGTTACTGGAGAATGGCATTCTAAGTGAAGTAAGCCAGAAAGAGAAAGAAAAATACCATATGAGATCGCTCATATGTGAAATCTTAAAAAAACAAAACAAAACAAAATACATAAATACAAAACAGAAACAGACTCATAGACATAGAATACAAACTTGTGGTTTCCAGGGGGATGGGGGGTGGGAAGGGACTGGCATTTCAAAATGTAGAATAGATAAACAAGATTGTACTATGTAGCACAGGGAAATATATACAGGATTTTGTGGTGGCTCACAGCAAAAGAGAATGTGACAATGAATGTATGTATGTTCATGCATAACTGAAAAATTGTGCTCTACACTGGAATTTGACACAACATTGTAAAATGACTATAACTCAATAAAAAAAATTGTTAAAAAAATAGACTTATCATGTGATCCAGCAATTCCTCTCCTGGGAATATATCCAGAGGGAACCTTAATTCAAAAAGACACATGCACCCCAGTGTTCATAGCAGCACTATTTACAATAGCCAAGACATGGAAACAACTCAAATCTCCATCAACAGATGACTGGATAAAGAAGATATGGTACATATATACAATGGAACACTACTCAGCCATAAAAAAGAATAAGACAATGCCATTTGCAACAATATGGATGGACTGAAGATTGTCATTCTAAGTGAGTGGGCCAGAAGAAGAAAGAAAATGCCATATGACAATCATTTAATGAAGGTAAATTTAAAAAAA